AAGTAAATTGTAATTAATAAAACGAAAAAAAGCATGTTTATTTTTAAATTATAATTAGCATAATACCTACAGTTTAAATAGCACCAATAGGGGAGTCTTAGTGAAAATTTACCCAAATCAAGGCGCTTCTGTTTGACAATACATTAAGTCGAAAACGACAAGTAACTTTCCATTGTTTGTTTCCATTTCTTTCATTACTTATATGAATTTTTACTTCGTAATCATAGTATGTAATTTTTTTATATAAATAATAATAACAAATATAATCACATAGGGGGTATTTTTGCTGTCAAAATTGTGGTGAATGCAACACTCAAAACATACTTAACAAAATCATGGTATATCGACCATCATTTTGTTAAGTATGTTTTGAATCCAACGTGGCAGGTGGCAAACCTATAAGTCTCTCAGGTGAATAAAGTTTGTTATCGTTGTTTCTATCATCGGAAAGTCAAAATATTGACTGACACATTTTTTTTGGTGTGAGCAAGATGCAAAGTCACTAAACTTGGGGTTAATTAATCGGGGTAGGTCACTACACTTTCCATATAAAGTTATGCAACTTTACGATGGGATGGATTACGACTAATGAAAAGTAAAGCAGTACGCTAAACCGCTATATTACCAAGGTCATCAATTATCTGATGTTTTAAATTCCTGGTTTCATACTTTTACTTTATTTAAATTTCTATAATTTATTTATTTATTGTTTTTATATAAAATAATATAATTTATCAAATATATATTACTATAATAAGTAGATATAATAGGTAATATATAAGATATATTAAAAGTGAATGAGACAAAGGTGCTCGTGAGAGAATAGTGGCACCGGATTCCGTGTGGAACACGTTTCGCGTTAGATTTCCCACACAAATCTATTGTTATGTTTATTTTTATTATCTCAATCTAAAATCACAACAGACGCGAGCGACCGAACAGAATGCTTTTACTTTTCCACGGAATTCTTTAAAAGCATACAAAAAAATTGGTCGCGAAACGACCGCGTGACGGAGGCTTGTCTGCGTCGATTAGTCGCGTCGCGTCAAGCGAGTCAAGGGCGGTCATCGAGCAGCTGGCTTCCTACTGAATTTTAATACCTCGCCAAACCCAAAACTACGACGTTACTAGTTTTACGACCGCGCTCGAGGTCATGCGGTAACTACGCGAAGTCCATCAAATAAATCTATTGAAAAAAAAACGGAGACTACACAACGCGGAAGTGGCGTTGCGTTAATCGCGTGATACCTATCGCCCGTTCATGTTTTGATAGCATTTTAAATATAGAACGTCGTTAAGTTCCAAATGTAACTTCAGCTGTCGTCGTCGCGTCTTCTCCATGTTCTATTTTCAAAATTAACAGGATAGTATTTCTATTTTTCAATTTTTGTCTATGGTACGTTTTATTTATTTATGGCAACCACAAGTGCTGTCATTTGTCTGTCATGGAGTCTTCTACATGAAAAGCCCACAGTCATGGCGATGCCCTGAAAATAAATAAATTCTTTGTAGAATGCTAAAAAAATATCTTGTCACTAAGTGGTCGAGTTTACCAATTATTTCTTTTGTTAAGTAGAAGTGTACCACTTTTTACTTGCCAAATACAATATTCAAAATTTTAACTTTTATAACTAGAAATATGTAGGATCCTATTTTTATATCTGTATAATTCATAGGTACACTTCGAAATGCATTTATCAGAGGTTGTACATGGTCAGAGGCATACTTTGTACACAAGGGCTGGCCAGTTTATGAATGAACAACTTCTTTTTCTAATTCACAAAAAACTATCTATGCTAAATGTCTTACGCAATAAAAATAATCATCAAAATCGAAACGCCCTGTTATGCATAGACAACTGGACGGCCTCCGTGTGAATGTATGATCAATGGCAGCCTTTAAACAGAACTGAATTCATTGATATTTGTTCCGGGTCATTGCCTTCGTATTTACACTAAAGTGTAAAATATTCTTAAATATGATAGTCGGCCTGTACGTCTAAGTGCGACACTCACTAGTGAGACACTAGTGGTGTATGTATGTGCATACACGCTTTAGTTTTATAAAACCAAAACAAATAACTTTTAAAGCAATCCAATCGAAATTACATAAAATAGATGTCAAGTCAAATTCTTGTTTAAAATTTTCAATTCAAAATCAAATGTATGTAATATTGATTTGAATAGAACTATGTAGATCGAAAATTTTAAAATCGAATCGAATCGAAATTTCTTTGTCGATTATGGAAATGTTTTTTGAAAAAGAACAGAAATATAGATATATAAAGTTTATCAAACGTCATAACATATCAAACCATTGAATCGATGTCATCGATTTTATGCGATATTTCAGTTTCACATATGTTGTTATTTTTTCAAAGTGCAAATGTGACGTGTGTTTCAAAATCTACTTATTTTAATTAGCAATAATAACAGCAAGTTTCAAGACTAGTTTCTTGACGATATTACGACATATTTAGATCATATAGATATGGCTATAAGTATGAATTTTAGTAAAAACTGGATAAGAAATCAACAAAAAATATTACCGAGGAAAAATTATATCGATGAAACAGTCGATAAATAGTATCGATAATTCCATGACTAATTCGTTTCACATGGCGCAACTCATGACGAGACTCCATTTATTGCCCGTTGATTTTCATTCATCATATTTAAGCCATACGACTTAAGTTGTTTAAAATATTTAAAATAAATTAACTAATTCCAACATAGTAGCAGGCACACGATATATTATTATAATGTATGAGCTTGTTAGATTGAAGTAGCGTCACAAATTCTGAGCACCTTTCAAGGTTATGCCGATCACTTTATGAATATGAACATTAGAAAATTCATTCTCTTTGGATTTACTTTGTGATATGTATGATATTGCTAGCAATATGTTTGGTTGATACCACGCGGTTCCCCATTCCTGGTGAATTTGGCACGATGGGCTAAAGTGAACTGAACTCAAGTTCATCTTATCCATCCTCCACTGGTGCCCCGCGAAACATTTAGGACAAACGGGTGCCACCATTATCATCCTTTAAAAAAAAGTTTAAATTGTATATTATTTATTTATTTTTTAGTATATTGTGAAAAATAGATAAAGTAGAATCTACTTTAAGGATTATGGTTGTTCTAGTACAACTATTGTGTATTGTAACGATATAGAATTTCGTAATGGATGTGAGATGACCCGTATGGGGCTAATCTACTTACGCGCCCATGAAATCTTATTAGTAGTTCACAGGTATCCCTGTTAACCTAATTGTAGATAATGTTTTAATAAGTAATAAGTAGAACATACTAATTATATATAAATATATATATTAATAATGTGAATCAAAAACTTTGTACACCTTTATACGAAAAATGCGTGGACGCAGGAGTATGAAATTATGCACACTTATAGTTTATATAGAGGAGTGCAGAATGCAAATATTTTTTTTTATTATGCATAAAATACACATTAAATTAATAAAAAACATAACACACAATACCATGTATTTGACGCATGCACATACATACTCTTCTGTTTATTGTTAAAGTCTGTGGTCTAATTAAAAATAGATTAATATTGTTTGTTTTTAATATTATTTGCCCATAGTCTTACTGAATGTTAAATTACTTATGGTCGTATTTCGACCACTGGGTGGCCACAACTAAATCTAAATATTATATAAATATATCATATTTAGATTCATACCTTTGGTTTTCTCCTTCTATCTTTAGGTAACATTCTTTTTTAGTATTAGAACTATAATAATGTTCCTAAAAAAAACTGTAATACCTATCTGTTATCTGGTACTCATAACACATTGCTTAGCTTAGGACTAGATGGCGCTGTGTGAGTTGATATATAATTATTATAAACTATAGTACCTAGGTTTCATTTACTGGTTGGGAACATGGAGTCTGCCATTTGCACCTGTTTACGAGTATATCTATGGCAATTTAGTTGTAATAAGATGATAATCATTGCATCGGCGCCCGCGTGAGGTAGCGTCGTTAATATCGTTGGATAACGTGAGCCATGCATGTTCGTGACCATTGGCGACCCGACCTGCCATCTTTGTTATTTAAGTACATATGGCAAATAATTGCAACCATATTAGGATGAATAGAAACGATGAGTCGTCTCATTTATTATTAACATGCACTCTAATAAATAAGGGGCAGTAAAGTTTTCGAGTGGCGACTGTGGACCTGTAGATGTAGGTAGGTGTAGTAGAGCGTGGGAAGGCCTCCAACAAGGTAGACCGACGTTTTGGTCAAGATCGCTGGGAGGCGTTGATGCGAGCACCGCAGGACCGATCCTCGTGGAGATTTTTAGGAGAGTACTTTGTTCAACAATGATGACGATGATGAATAAATAAGGAATTCTGTTGGAAATTGTAAATTAATAAATATGTGATAGGTTATGTATGTAGAGTCTAATCAAAATTTCTTGTTATTTCTATTCTATTTTGTTTATATTTACGTATTAGTAATATGTGCATACGTTATCTTATTGACTAATCATACCAAGGTATTGGGCACAAGGATACGATATAACTAGGAGATTGGTGTACAGCGCAGTGCAGTATATACTGCATATACACTATAATGAGCCAGAGGTGAACACGCCTGACATACGCTCGACCCAAATGACATAAATGTGATCGCAAATGACGTACATACCTATATATGACGGCCTCGGTTGGTCAGTGGTTTAGGATTTATTTCCGATGGTCGCAGCTTCGATTCCATGTACGGTACTAAAATTTTGTGTAATTATTGTGATGGTCTGGGTTTTTTCTACGTATATTATATATTTCCAAAAAAAAAGTCTCCAAATCAATCAATCCAATTTCTCAGCTGCAGCTTTCTTTGAAAAAGGCGTGACGATATATATTCACGTATATATATTTTTTATACCACGTAGTTGGCAAACATATTATTATTGACATTGGTCAATTAATAAATGAATCATTAAGAACGTTTCTCTTATTACAGACAGTCCACGATGAAAGATTGAACAGTCGCGTAGATCAGATGCTGGAAGAGGGACTGATACAAGAGCTGTTGGAGTTCCACGCCAAGCACAACATGCAGAGGATAAAAGATGGAAAGTAAGTGTCGAATATGTACTGAAAATAGGATGGAAATAAAAATTATACAAATTAACATAAATTGGATGCGTTGGTGGCTGAAAAATACAATCTTTGAATAGATTCTACCGCAGTAATAACATAGAAAATTCAGTCAAGAAGAATGGGTATGATCTTGTAGCTTTCTTGACGAATAGATATAATGTGTAAGCTACCAAACATGCAAAATAGCTCTTTCCCACTTCCATAGAGAAAACTCCTTTAAAACTGCATTTAGAAAGACAATTTTGGATCCAAAGTTTGAGGCGGTTATTTAAAGAAATAAAATGTCAGAGGAGAAATTATCTAAGTAAAGAAATAATCAATGAATATAAAATTTTACATGTAGTTTCCATTATTATTTTCGTAAAATAAAGTATGTTCATTTTAATGAATTAAAAATATCACATGTATTGTTGGTCTTCCTAATTATCGACTATCAGACACACCGCTTTTCTCATTCGCCGTTCACAGCTTAATGACGCTAGCAGTGTGCGCTAGAGACGACATAATGCTTCCTTCTCTTTTCCACATATAAAAAAGCAGAGGTAGGCACTCTAAAAAGCATTGACATCTGAATACCTTAGTATCACTTGTTTCAGTCGCCAAGCAACTTTCTTTGTAAGCTATTTCGGTTGAAATGTGAGATAAGGCAGTGAAACTAGTGAGATACCAATGGCAATGCATGAATGCTGTCGCAAGCGTCATATGATAATGTGAGGTCCGTAGTGCTGTTCATGTATATAGACGACGAATATCACTTACCATTAGGTGAATCACTAGCTTGAACGTCATTCTGATTATATTAAGAAAAGTTATGTGAAATATTCTATAAAATAGAATATAATGAATTCGCACGGGCGAAGCTGTGGGAAGCAGCTAGTAATCTTTAAACAGCCAGACGGACTGTGTAATATATAATTTTAAGAAACAAAGGACTTTCGATTCACACAAATTATCCGTGAAATTAAACTGTGTTAACGAAACACTTCGATTATGGCCGATCGAACCATCAACAATGGTAAAAATTATTATAAAAAATAAAGAAAAAAGTTGCACAAAACCAAGATGGCGGGTGGGCAATGGCCGCGGTAGTGGCATCTGCTGTTGCTGTATAGAGTTGCGGTTGCCTATGGTCTCGTGTTTCATACGTGCTGTCTATTTTAGTCTATAGTAATTATCTTTGGTACTTAAATAATTAACTAACTAGTCAGCAAAAAATATTCAATATAACTTCGTATGCTCTCAGACTGTTTCAAAGAGAAACAAATTGTTTTTCCAAACAACGCTTAACAAGGTTTATCCGTTTGAGTCAATAGACAAAACCACCAATTAATTATTGCTACATTATTTCAAATTAAGAACTTGATATAGAAAGCAATAGACAAAATATCCATTATCTAAATAGATTGGTATGAATAATGTGTTTATGAATAACGTAGTAAGTAAAAAATAATGTAAAGCGTAGAAATTGTGTCATTTTATCGAAGTGTTTTACTTACGCATTTTGTAATAATAATTAGACCAATAAAATGTATTATTAATCATCGTTGTGTTCATTACATTTAATTTATTTATGTAACAAATGAACATTTATTTTATGGCTAGCGTGGTTTTTGTTGGGCATTGTTTTCTTTTACAGGTATTATGTAATGTTTTTTTAACCACAGACTTATTTTTTACATTTTTTTAAATAAAATAAACTCATAGTTAATAAGTTTAAGTACACAATATATACTTCCTTATTTCCATTATCATTACATAGTATAAAATAGTGTCGCAGTCGCTGTCTGTCCCTATGTATGCTTAAATCTTTAAAACTACGCAATGGATTTTTAATAGATGTACTGATTCTAGAGAAAGGTTTATAATAAATTGAAGAACAATCTCAATCACGTCAACTTTCAAACAAAAAAACCGCATTATAATCGGTCCCTCTGTTCAGGAGCTACGATACCACAGACAGACACACAGATACGTGAACCTTATAACTTCATTAATACTCATAGTAATAACAAGCACTATAAATCAGTAAGTACTTATAGGTTAAAATAAAGTGAAAAAGATTTCTTTTCCTTCAGCTCTAAACAAGGACACTGCTACCATAGTTAAGTGAGTTTCGATGTTTTCAATGCGAGCCTTTTTAACTGAAGATAGTAGGTATTGCCTGACTATAATGTGGTCACTCTAGAACTCTTGAAAACCGAGAACTTTTCCTATTGTAATGAACAACGAAAATTTAACGAGGAAATAGTCTATACCTATAGAAATAATAATAAGTACTTAAATTAATAAGTAAGTAGTAAAAAATAACAACTTAATTAATGCCATAGATAAAAAAAGAATGCAAAGGAAATCAATTATTCAGTCATATGAGTTAAATTGCGGATTATTAAATATTACTTACTTGAATGTGTAAATTTAATTGTTTTGTTGTACATATTGTACTTTTTTCTGATGTGGTTATTAAGACAGAATGCTGTAACTATTTATTATTAAAAGTATCAAGATATTTCATCCGACTGACGTTGCCGATGCAAGTTTCCCAGTAGCAAGTATTGACCACAAAATACGTACCTACAATGTTATATACTTAGTTGAATCCTATCTTATTAGGGATGTAGTGGTAAATTAATTTTACATTAATGTATATCTTACTAATAATATAAATGCAAAATGTGCTATCTGCTTATCTGTTTGTTACATTTCCACGACTGTAATATCTGATATTAATTAATTTCACTTGAAGATATTGTCACGAACATCATTTATCTCAAAAAAAGTTAGCAAGGAAGAAGATTAGATCTAAGGTAAGAAGAAGTTATTTTTATCTCAAAAAATTCAAACTAATTTGTCGGTAACAATTATTAACATATATAATTGTAGAAATTAAAATGTCATTTTAAATTACATTCGGTTCAAGTTCAAAAATCGTAATAATTAGAGATAAAATAAAACTGGTGTTTTTTCCTCAAACTCATTCATCTGGTTGCTTATAAAGCATGAAGTCTAGATTAGCTAGCACCGCTACTTACTTACTACACAGTAGTTTTGTCTCGTTTTTTGCAAATTAAATTTTCGTTGCAGCAAATTGAATTTTATTTTTGTTTTTTTTTAGAGTTCCATATTATACCACATTACATATTTCCGTACTAAAAGTATGTTCATAAACTTAATTATCATATAGGTCATTGGGCTCCTTCAAATATAATTGAGCGCAACTACTAGCTCATTTATCATACTCGTGAACGGGTATTTCTTATAAGGACTATTGTGATCACTCTGATCAAAACTACTGATTTATTTTATATGTATGTATATATTTTTTCGTATTATATTTTTTTTTTACTATTTTCTTACGGAACCCTCGAAACAAGAGTTCTATTCGCACCTTATTACGGTTTTCTTACAATAATTGTCCTTGTTCAACAAGAAACCTTATGCTGACCGTTTTCAGTCTACGTTTCCAAAGCCGATGTAAGATAAAAAATCACGTTTGATTGAATCGTGACTAGTGGATGCTACGTCTCTCTATATATAATATACATTAAACGTTTTTTTATGCAAATTTCTATTATAAAACAATCGAAGAGATATGTATGTATGTTTGTATATTAAAATATATTTGAATACGACAAAAGAAAATGTATCCACGGTATTAACATCAAAATGTAGAATTGGAAAATAAAAAAAAAGTGTAATAGAAAAATCACATTTTCTATTACATTATTAAAAACTATAACCAAAATATAACTTTACATATTTTTGTAATAGTTTTTATGCCTCTGAGTGCCAGTGCTTTAAATACTTTTCCACTAATTCACGTTAAGTTATTTTTTTTTAAATATAATATAAATTCTACCATTACAGCTTTGCGAATTAAAAAAATAAATTAGAACAGCCTGTTACGAGGTTCATTTACAAGTTATTAGTAAATTTAAAATAAGATTGTCCCGTCTATTTGAAAATAATATTATCCATGAGTACCTACCTACAGCAACAATGGCGGGACTATAAAATGGCGGCAGTATACGAACAAACTCATACCGAAACATTAGTTTCTTAATACATATTTTAATTAATCTACCGCATGCAACTTGAAAGCAATTCCGAGATGGAGAGATAGCATTTTTTATACAATTTGATATGTAGGTACATCACATTTCGAATCAGACGTTTGGTCATCAGACATTGCGACCTAGATTGAAGCCGGAACTAGCCAAAACGGCTTTTTTATGAAAGTATATCTCGATATTTGTCTTTGAATCGCCTGACACTTATCAGCTCTGCGTGTCTGCAAACTATTGAAATTTGCATAATAAAAATACCATATCAAGTAGAAACCAAGTCTGTAATGGCCTGGTAAAGTAATGCTAATAGGTCTCAAAACGGATTGTTAATAAAAAGTTTTTTTTTACTTGGAATGGCAAGCCGATGGACCACTTAACATCAAGTAGTAACCGTTGACGGTATATGTGAATAGCACCATAGAGATCACGTTGTCGTGTCGCCCGTGATACTATTCGGAGTTGCCATTCAGGAGCACTATGATCTTTTGCCTCCCTGTACTGCAATTTCACTGCTTTATTTATTATAGATATAAGAAATATAAGATAGTGTATCTGCTATGCTAGAACCAGTGATTGGGAGAAATAAATTGATGCAAATTAGCTTAAGTTGTTATACTAGCTGTGCCCGCGGTTTCATCCGCATGAAATTTGTAGCCTATATATTATTCTGATGTATAAGCTATATTATTGTATAGTTAAATTAAAATCTATTCGAAAGTTTTTGCTTGACAGAGTAACAAACTTCCTGCCATCCATGAACACACAGAAGCTTCAGCGTTTATTCAATTCAATATATATTCATTCTAATAGACCTACTATTACAGACTCTTATGATATATTAGTACCGAACTAAAATTATAACTAGATATCTAAATATAAAAAAAATATTTTCAGACCTCCTGATTACACGAAAGGCATTTTCCAAACACTTGGCTTTAAGGAGTTTCACGATTATCTGATGCTGGATGTGGAACAGAGAGATGCAGCAGAGGGTAAAAAATTATTGCAACAAAGTATAGAAAATATGAAACAATCCACCAGAAGGTACGCCCGGAGGCAAAACAAGATGATCAGGGGGAGATTTCTGGAACATCCGTTCAGAGAAGTAAACTGTTTTTCTTGGATTATATAATCTTGTTTGACTACAAGTCAATTTCCTCATATTCTATAAAAATATATTTATTTATACTAATCACAGTCAATCACAAATAATGTGCATGTAATAATAGGAATGTATTTTTACTGGTTTACGAGATTAATAAAAGACAAATACAAATTAGCATCTTAAATATAGTGTATACAGCGAGCTATTTATTAATTGATTATAGTTATTTTATTCCATTTGTTGAACTTTGTACAATGTCTTGTAAATTAAAGTTAAATAAATAATAGTTTCTTCGGAAAATACAAAATATTTTTAGCGCCATCTATTATAGAATAGCGGAATTCTACAGACTAATTAGAGAACTTTAATGCGCCCTCTACTGTCAAGTGACGGATAGTATTAGCGTCATGCTTTACTAACTAGATGTCGCTTTTTGCAGGTGCCTCCAATTTACGAGCTTGATACGACAGATGTAGCGAATTGGGATGAAAATGTTAAAAACAAAGCGGTCCACGTTATTGATAGTTACATAAAAGGAAGTAAATGCGACTACAAGCCTATAGAGGTTATTATAGATGAAGATAAAAAGAAAATAGATGCAAACTCTTCAAATTATTGTAATATTTGTGAAAGAATTATAATAGGAGACAAAACATATGAAATCCATCTCAAATCTCACAAGCACATGAAGGTACTTAAAAAGAAGAAGAGATTAGAAGAAAAAAACAAAGCAGATCTGCAATAATACTGACTTGTTACTGTGTGCAAATTAATATAAAATGTAATGAATAAACCCATTTTTTAATGTCACTAATATTTATTCAAATAATCCAAAAAATCTAACATAATTATTTACAGTTAAAACAAAATATTAATTTTCAACAACATACTTTGCCTCATCTACTTGTATTTTAATTTTCGGTGCTCGGATATCATAGTGTTCAAATTCTGGATATTCTTTAACAATCTCATTGTAGGCTTCACAAATTCTAGCAAATTCTGTATTAGTAATTTGAAATGGTCGAGTTATTGGATCTATGTCAGCCATTTTATACATCTTCAGAGCAAATTCTTTGCGAACATCTTCTGGAAATAATGTCTCTGCACCTCTGATTGAGTACTTCTGCCTCATTGAGAATATTTGACGAACTACTTTCTCAAACATTTTGAAGGGCAGGTTTGTCAATGGCCGCTTCAAAGGTGTCAATGTGACTACACCTACGTCCACATCAGGCTTGGGAAGAAATGCTGCACCGGATATATCAAACTTATAATTTATATTGCACCAAGTCTGACACATAACAGAGAGCCTGCACCTCTGTTTGTTAAGGATGCGTGCCACCATTCTCTCTGCTACTTCTTTCTGGAAAGTCAGAGTCATCCTAGTCCGCCCAAAAGCCCACGGTCCTTCCTGCCTTGAAATCATTTCTAACCAGCGCACAATTAATATTGTTGACACACTAAATGGTAAGTTACCAATCAAATTAACAGGTGGTGGTGATTCCATCCAATCTGTTCTAACATCAGCAGGAATAAATGTAGCAATGTTGGTCTTTAGAATATCACCTGTTATAATATCAACATCCACTTTATCCTTACAAGCATCAGCTAAGAGTTCCAAGGAAGGAATGAAGCGAGGATCTTTCTCGATAAGTATGACTTTCCTAGGTGCTTGGTTAATGATAGACCTAGTTATGCCGCCCGGGCCCGGCCCGACTTCACAGACGACGTTCCCTTCTATGTGGCCAGCGGCACGTACTATTTTATCGATTAATTTCGGCTCCATTAAGAAATTTTGTGATAACTCCCGAAGTGCGCGCAATTTGTATAGCCTAATAACATCTTTGATACTTGGTAAAGGAGGCAGTCGTATCTGTAATGCTCTTTTAGCAGCCGCCATTACTACTGTCGCACTTTCTCTGGTTCGTTAAAATCGTCCAGGAAAGTTTCCTGCTTCACGGCAAATATAGAGTACAAATAAATGCCCAGGACCCCGGCGCCGATCGACAATCCCGTAATACGATTTCTCCTTGCGATCAACTCTAGTTTTTGTACACGCTCACGATTCTTCTCCTCGATTATTCTCATATAATCCAACTCTGCCTTCCGGAGGACAGGATCTTGTTTTCCGGCAGTGTTAACTTTGGGTTTAAATGAATCTCCCATTACGAACTACTTTACTGTATTCTATTGAAAGAAAACAACCTCAAATACGCAAAATATGCCAAAATCAGTAACCAAACCAAACCATAGATAACTTTTTATTTTTAATTATAGATTATAAATCTATTCTATTCTATCTATCTATAGGTATTTATGTCATATTTTACGTAGACGGAGAAATGTATACTTTAGTATATAAATATGAATATGGTCAAAGACTGGAAAACGAAAATGGATCAAAATATACAGATCTTTTGAAAGTTAAAGTAATATAAAAATCTTATATTTCTAAATGTAAAAACTCACATGGCTTAATGCGACGTATGTAATAGTGCAATAAAAGTATTATATACATTATAATACAATGGCGCTCTCTATCGGTATAAGTTGTCAATAATAATTTTAAGTGATAGTTGTTATCGTACGATTTGAAATCCATGCTGCATTTTAGTGTTATTATGTAAATAAAGTGACTATTAAATGATATATAACAATTGCATATATTATTATTGTTATTATAGCATAAAAGGCCTTTCTACCAAAATATTCACAGGCTTGAATGAAAATATTAGGTATACGTGCCCTCAAAAGTAAATAATCAAATATTACTGTTGAATTAGGTTTATTGGATTTGTGATTGATTCAATTAATTTTCAACAACAAAGCGATGTGAACAATATTAGTATATACCTCGTTTAGAAGTACTCTATTCCTTTATGATATAAAAAAGTACTCTGTGGTCTGTTGTACAGATCATATTTTTCTTATAAAAACATACTCAATAACAGCTGTTCCTGACATTTCGTACAAAAATCAACAAAACAAAACATGCGCGTATCTGTCTCTTTCTAAATAACAACTCTGGCTCACTCTTATACATTATTTGCACTGAATAAGAGATCTCGCAACGCCGCATCGTTGCGTCGAAACAAGGAACGAAATCATCAAACAACCAACCAAGCAACCAATCGTCAAACAAATCCTGTTTTGCGTAGTCGATAGTCGATGTTCGGTTGTGTAGGACCGTTCGCGTTGTGAATTTTGTTGTTATTTGTGTTTATAAAACAATATGCCTTTCATTTCTAAAGACTGGCGATCTCCAGGAGAAGAGTGGGTTAAAACCCAAGAGGGATGGGAAAAAAAGAAAGTATTGGAATGCACTTCACAGAGGTATCTAAGTTTATATATCAAAACAATATTGTTCTTTGTTCGTGTTCACTTCAGCGCATCCAAATAAATAACATTTAAGCATGAAACTAATAACTAGATTTCCGTTAGTTTATTTATAATATGTGTTACATTTTTGTGTTTTATATGCATTCTGTATTTTGTATTGCAGATATCCTGCTATAACTAACTATAATAACAGTGACGATAATCCACAGAAGTGGTAAGTGAATGTATTTTATGTAAGTTAGAACAGTATTTTAATGAGTACTGTTGTTCTCAGTCAGCTGTTCCCATATTGCAGTTTGTATTGATTTTCTCTCGTGTGTCCTTCAACGTTAGATAAGCAGTTGAGCATCTCAATACTTATAAAGTTACTTTAAAATCATTAAAGTAACTTTATAAATATTGAGGTACACTATGTATTCACATTTTTTTAATTTATTTAGTACCTATTTTAAACTCCATATTGAGATGAGAAATATTTCACAACAATTAGGGTATCTATAAATGTGTTTAATTATTTAGATGTAATGTTATGATAAATGTGTTATAATTATTTAGATGTAATTAAAAAGCTACCTAGTTGTTTAAGAAAATTGTATTTACAATTAAATTAGCAATATGCAGTAGCTACTACGTACCTAACGGTAAATCCACTGTCTTACGAAACTAGGTATGATGAAATACCTATTAAACAATTACTAATTAAATACCTAAATGTTTGTGGATGATGATGGGACGGTGATGACTCTAATGGGACCAGAATTCATCATGATTTCCACCATCGTCACTCCAGCACCAACACCCTGGGGTCGTATCGCAATTTCACCAACATCCAGGTTACAAGAAACAAAGCACCAATATTGCAAGCAATGGGCCAATATTAATAGTCTTCAATAACAATTCTCTATCTTTCTATATTGTCTAGCTTTATCCCGCAGCGCTACTCGTGTGAAAAAAAGTTACGTATCTATTCGTTATTGTATTTTATTATATTGCATCCCATAGGTGTAAGATTTTTAAGATTTTTTTTAGTCTATGTATCAAATAGAATAACTATTAGTTATAGTTATTCTATGGCTATTAAAAATATTTATGGGTACAAAAAAAGTAATCATTTATCTTTATTACCTACTAAAGTAATACTGGAAACCATCGTGGTCAATCTCTTGTGAGTTGTAACGAAGGTCTAACCGATTTAACTTCATGCTGCCATCGTCCTCCAATGGTGCCCCGCCAGCTTATACTGTTAGGGCACCATTCCATTATCATCCATTGAAAGACATAAATTAGAATAATTCTCAAATAAGCTGAAGTGTATAAAATTAACAAGTAACTACAAGAAATAAAAATATATTTTTCTGGCAACTTTGTCCTCAAGATCAAGATAAAAGTAACCATTCTCTTTCTCGATCTCAAATGTCAAATTTCATGAGTCAAGCTATGTTACGATAACTAACTTTCGCCTTTATATTGTTAAAAGTTAGAAGTTGAGTTTTATTTAATAATTTTATGCCTTTCTTATTTTTAAATACCTACATAATTTCGATAAATGGCATACTAAGGTATATATCCCAACACTAAGTTATAGTAACTGAATTGATTTTAAAGAAAAAAAATTTTTTTCATATTTCATTTTTTCATATTATATACTTAACGACAACGAATACATTTTATTGTCGATTTCAGTTAGTAGATATATCGCTATACTAAAACTAGCTATGCCCCCGGTTTCTACCGCGTGATATATAAAGCATGTGTTATACTGATGTATAAGCTATATTACTGTAAAGTTTCAACAAAATCCGTTCAGTAGTTTTTGCGTGAAAGAGTAACAAACATCCATCCATCTATATCCATATATACTTACAAGCTTTCGCGTTTATAATATTAGTAAAGTATGACAGTATCTTTCTGCTTTTTTGTGTTTATGGTAAATTATCTTATCACGCAATTTTCTTTCTGTAATTCCTCGCTCCATTGTTAATCCTTCCGCCGATTCTTTGATCACGTCCGCCACTTTATGAAGGATAGGTAGAAGGTATCGAAACAAACTATATTATAGAAGAACATATTTTCTTACAAGGAATTATTTGGTTACAATATTTTTCATATTGTTTATAGAATATTGTCCATAGAATTCTTTGTAATATCAAAATATATATTTTTTTTTTATTTATGACTAAATGTTAAAATAAAATATCTTTTCGAATGTCAACTCCATTATATCAAAGTAATCGTTTAAAAAGAAAACCCCAAAAAAAATTTAGATAAAAAATAAAATTTTCGAATCTCTGAAGGAGTTCCGCAATATACTGAAACTAGAACAGTGTTTTAATTTAAACAAATACGTAATCAAGTTCCTATAAGAAAGCTCTGAAGTATATTTGTGTACAGTAATACTTTATACATCTATCCCTTTATAAACTAACACCAAAGAAATAAACTGAAAGCAACCGAAATAAAAGGGAAATTAAAGATTTCGTCGGCCCCGAAACCCAGTTACGGGTAGCTCCAGCAGATAAGATAAACTAATAGACCGCTAAATCGGATTGAATTGGTCTAATATCGGAGACGAGGAATAAAGTCGATCACACATTTTAAGACATTTCTTAGCAAAATGAAATTACTACTTTAAATAAAAAAAACTACTAACTAAATAATTAGTGTGTGACCACTAAAGTAAACCTTCTAATAGAGGCGGAAGGGATTGGTAATAATGTCGACTAATAATCATATTGTTAACAATATACAATGTCAGGTTGGCCACCACGCAGTTAAACCTGGAAATAATCGTGATAATTTTCTAGTGAATTTGTCAGGACAGGCTAACTGACCTGACCTCATGCTCATCCTATCATCCTTCACTGGTGCCCCGCTACCGTACACCGTTAGCGCAGGCGGTAGCACTATTCCATTATCATCCATAAAAAAACCTAATAGATAACCAAAGTAATTGTTGCGGATATCCCGTAACATACTCACAAAAAATAAAAATTAAAAACACAGTCGAATTGAGAATTTTTTCTTAAGTCGAAATAATAGAAATTGAGAGAACTTTTTCTTAAGTCAAAATAATAGAAAATAGGGTGCAATTTGAACGTGAAATTACAGGATAAGAGGTATAACATCTGAGTCCTTTGGAATAGCAGAGCAAAAGCGTCACTTACGTCATTTGTTAACGTTATGTCCTGAAACAAAAATATGCTGCATATGTATAAAAATAGAATAGAAAATCCTTTATTCGAATAAACTTAATTTAAGCACTTTTGAATAGTCATAACATTTTGTTTAATCTACTGCTCATTCGGAAAGCTGTCTCATCACAAGAGGAACGAGCAAGAAACTTGTGTACTGCTCTCGCTAGGGATGCTGAAACAGAAATACCGCTAACGATTTTGTGTAAACTCAATTTCTAGAGATTTTCCATTCATGAAAAGAACAATAAAACTCAAGGTATACTCGTGGGCAAACGTTTACTTTAGGTCAAGTGCGATCGCGTTCGCTAACAGATAAAAACTAAAATATATTGAGCAATACATGTTTGCGAATCGCTATGTTCATAATTTCAGCACACAATAAAGTTTGTGGTTATGGTTAATTCTATTTTAACTTACCAATGATGACAAAGATGGCGACTATATTGGACTTCTAGATTATTAGAAATTCAGAACGATAAAATATCTATGTAAGCATGTCTATTGTTACATACCTTTTAAAATTGACACGGTCGTTATTTATACGTAAAATAAAGACACTTCTAATCAGCAGGAAGGCTTAGAATACTGAGAAAGTAACCACTGCGTTTTAATGTAGACACATCCTTATGATATCTAAACATCGGTGACCGTTATTATTTTAAAAAAATAAGTGCACAGTGCATATACATTATAAAAATTTTTTTTCATAAAGTGGTAGAATTTCATAAAAAAAAGAATAAAACTCAATAAATTTATTTACGTTTTTTTGTAATTTCAATAAATTACATGTAGTTACATGTAATTTCAATAGATTTAATAGATTTCAACACATTGAATTCCAAGTTGACGTATGAGCCTAAACGAAATTAAATATTAATATTAAAAATAAAAAATTACCGCCGAATTACGTAAAAACAAATTCGATAATGGTGAATTCATATGAACAATGGTAATTTAATAAATAAACCTGTACTTGATAGTTTTAGTTACAGTATCTCAAAAGCAACATTGGTTCCTAAAAAATACCAAAGGAAATGAAATCTTGTTAGAAAGGAGTTATAAATAAACTTCCGATGGTCGTTCCTGTTAGTATAATTTTAAAGGGTAGCTTTGAGTCATTCATGTAATTTAATTTCTCATTCACGTGTGGGTGGAACCGAGTAATATTAATTTTGTTTCAAATTACACTTTACTTTTTTTTATTACGTTATGAATGATGTTGTTTCTGTCCTTAATTTACTTTTACGAAATGTTATACGATTATTGTTTTTTTTTTAATTAAAAAGTTATTCGCTACAATGAAAATGACCCTGTTTTGGTTTATAACAAAACGTTATTTATATACTGTTAGTGCAATAACATAATAATATCTCAGGACAACTCTCTCACCATCTAGTGCTAAGCTAAGCAGAGCTTATGTTATGGGTACTGGGGACAACTGATACAAATACATAGATATATTTTTTTGGAAATACATATGTAATATACCCAAATATACCCAAACTGATTACAAACAATTTCATGAATACAAATATATGTACCTCGCGAGGATCGAACACGCGACTATCGAAAGTGAGAGGTCAAAAATGGCTAATTCACCGATGCCGTCTTATAAGAAAATCACTTTAAAAGTATCAAAAAGGTATAAGGTAGTATAATGTCGTATCTCTGTCATTTGTCCTCTTATTCTACTATGTATTTCGCAAAATTATCTAATGAAAGTATGTATCGTATGTACATCTATTTATTTCTGCTATTAATGACCCATATTATAAATACCTTATAGACTAACATCTTATATATAAAATTCTCGTGTACGTGTACAATGTTAGTTACCATACTCCTCTGAACCGGGTTGACCTATTTTTATGAAATTTTATATTCAGTAGATCTGAGAATCGGCTACTATCATTTATTAGTTAATACATTATATATTATTTTTTTATTTTTTCGAGAAACATTTTTTATTTATATTTTTTTATTATGTGTCATTAAAAAATACATACGACCCTAAATTTTC